TATGCATTTGCAAAAAACTTTTTTAAATGGATTTCATTTTGTATAATTTGAGTGTTAAACTTGAAATGGTTGCATTTCTTTTTCAGAGACTTGTTTCTTCATTCATGAAAGGCCGAAATATTGAATGCCTTAAAAATATTAATACATCATTTGGGATCACTGACTTTAACTAAATATTATACTTTTTTTTATTCTTGTTTTGAAAAATATGAAACATCGGCATTAACTCTTTTACATCAAACATGATAAGAGATAAAAAGATTTTTTTTTAAATTCATGGTTTTAGAATAGTTTTTTTTTCTGAATTGAAGCCAAATATAACACAGCATTTTTTAGTTTAGAATGGGTGCATATTTTTATGCATTAAGATTTAACCCAAAGTTATATTTTTTTATAAATTTTTCAGTTGTAAATACAGATGTTACCACTAGATGTCACTAAAACGACACTAATCTGTTATCTTCTTGCTGGTTCTTGTAATTTCCTTTGCAAAGCCAAGTTTATTGTTTTCATAATTAGGAGTAGTGGATGATTAACAGTACTTTGAATGAAGAATATATATATATGTTAAAGGTTAACTTTGGCTTTATTAGAGTCTGAAGACAGTAATAAGTCACAATCCCTCTCTGGTTGCTGGGAGAGTCTCGGTTCTCCTTTGATGATTTCTGGGAACACACCGCAGTAGACAATTCATTTCCTCTGGGTTTTTTCTTTTCAGTTTTGCTTCAGTGTTTACAGCCTTTTTTTTTTTTCTTCCTCTCAGATACATAACTCAAGAGGGACACAAGTTAGACACCGGTGCCCCACGACCCCCCGCCACAGTTACCAACGCCGTCTCCTGGAGGTCAGAGGGCATCAAGTACAGGAAGAACGAAGTCTTCCTGGACGTCATTGAGTCAGTCAACCTCCTGGTAGGAACTCCTTGTTTAAAAGACCTGGGTTACTTAAGGAATTCCAGGAACAATGATTGTTGATTTCCTCCCTTTGTGCCTGGCAACACAGTGTCAGCCTCAATGAATCTGTGATGTTACTTAATTTAAGTGGATGACAATGTCTGATATTTTTTTTTTACTAACTGACACCTTGAATGATCTTATTTTGCAGGTTAGTGCTAATGGAAACGTGTTGCGTAGTGAGATAGTTGGGTCCATTAAGATGCGGGTTTTCCTGTCTGGAATGCCGGAGCTGCGGCTGGGTCTGAACGACAAGGTTCTCTTTGAGAACACTGGACGTAAGTCCTTCACCATAGGGCCCTTATGAAGTCATGCATCTCATTGAACTAACATATCATCAAAAAGTCCATTTATTGTAGTAATTCTGTTACTAAATGCATGTAGGCTCTTTCCATACTGAATCATATATTTAACTTTTTTATCTCTCTGAATTCTGATGATGATGGCTTTGTGATTGTGTAAATGTTCTAATTTGAACCACATTTCTCTATAATTATACAGCTAATGAAAGTCTCAGTAATTAGACCAGTCCAGCTTTACAGTCATATGGCTTTATGTTCACCTTTCATGTCTCATCCAAAAGGCTTCTTTAACAGAAGCAAGAGAAGTGCAAATCTACTTGAGAGCTTTAGAATATTAAACAAGATTGATATACCGTAAAATGATTCCCATATCAGAGATGTCAATCTACTGAAAATATGCTTGTTTCTACATAATACTTATTTGCGGCTCCCTTAGCATGAGTTGCTGCATCAATGCAGCAGATTAATCGTGGTTGAAATTATACTCAACTAATTTAGTTATGAAATAAACTTAAACTGGAGTATACAGACTCTAAAACATACCATTTGCTGAAAAAGAAACTTACTTTTACATTTTCTATTAAACATTTTTGTCTCTTTCTAGAAGTCCTTAAGTAGTTAAGTTGGAGCCTCCCTTGGCTGACATTTTGTAAAACGTTTCATTTTAATGTCCTTATTTTTATCTAATTTTTAATAAATTGTTGCCAGATTAATTAAATAGTAAATGAATTAGTTGAAGCTCTACAGTGCAGCCTGTAGGCTCTGCTGAGGAATCCCAGGTTGCTTCATTATTGATCTTCCACTTATCTCCATAGTTCGGGCTTGATGTCTGTCATCTTGCCGATAGTTGATATAGTGTCTGTGGGGTTTAGGTCGGGTACATTGGCTGGGCAGTCTTCCACAATAATGCCACAAGTATCTCAGCAAGTAGTTGTAGTTTTGGCTGTAGGTAGATGTCCTGTTGTAAAATTTATTAAGCATCTCAATTAGCGCCAATACATTTAATTGATTAATCTTGATTAATTGATTATTTAAATAATCGTCAACTAATTTAGTAAAAGATTAATCTTTAACTGGAGTATAAAGACTCTAAAACATGACTTTAGCTGACAGAGCAACCTTTAAGGGTAGTAATTATATTGAGATGTAAAAAAATAAATAAACATTTTGAATTTTAAATACAAAAGAAATTCTTCTGTCAATATGCTCTATCTAGAACTCCTTAAGTGGAAAAGTTTAAGTTTCACCTGGTTTATTTTTTATAAAGTCTTCTTTAAAGAATATTTGACTCTCTGATAATTAATCGAAAAAATAATCGACAGATTAATGTGCCAACATTAAAAGACATGGGAGCTGGCTCGGAGCTCGTCTGCCTATCTGTGTGTTTACAGTTGCCTTTTGTATCTCTGCTTCTGTCTCCTTGAACCCCAGTCGGCCTCGGCAGATGGCCGCTCACACTGAGCCTGGTTCTGCTGGAGGTTTCTTCCTGTTAAAAGGGAGTTTTTCCTCTCCATTGTCGCTACAGCATGCTTAGTGTGAGGGATTGCTTTGAGTCAATGAGTCGATGCAATCAGCTGGTTCTCCTTTGATAGAAAACTTTCAATAAACTTTGACTGTACGATCTGAACTGTAAACGATGGAACTGTAAAGTGCCTTGAGATGACATGTGTTGTGAATTGGTGCTATATGAATAAACTGAATTGAAATGAATTAATTGATTTGCAAAATAATCATTAGTTGCAGCCCTGATCTCCATCGGCTTTGTTGCTGTGGCAACCATGAAATGCTCTATTTCCTAGTAAACTACTGCACTGACTTTGAAGTTCATAAATAAGATAAAATAGTGGAGCTACAGCAACAGATGGTACAGATCTCTAGAGATGATTACTGGCTTTGGGAACTTCACACTGGACTATCAGCAACTTGAATTTTGTGGGTGGCCAGACTCTGGAATCTGGATTTCTTTCAAAGTAATGTGACAGTTTATAACCCAATTTTTTGATTATTCTATGTGTTGAGACATTTTTCCTTCTTCTTAACTTTTCATGAATATGCTGAGATACAATGCTGAACAGTTTGCCTTATGACTGCAGGTCATAACAAATCTGCATAAAAAAATAATAAAAAAAATTCAGTTGGTTCTTTATTTTTTTCTAAACTGAATTTATAATTTTACATTAGCTGAAATAACACATTTCAGGTTAAAAGAAATGCCTTCATGAAATATATTACTTTGTGTGAAATAAAACTATATACACTGTGTTTTACTTTTTGAATTGAAATAGTAAAGTAAATTAACTTTTTGATGATATTGTAGAATAATGAGATGCATTTGTACAGCTGCAAAGCTAATTTTAGTTTAGCTATAACATCTTTATAACATCGTAGGCTTTTGCTAAGTGTCATAAAAGTTTGAAAGTACAGTTCAGCTCAACTTGATTGTTCTTAATTAATATTTTTCAATGCAGGAGGGAAGAGTAAGTCGGTCGAGCTGGAGGATGTCAAGTTTCACCAGTGTGTCCGTCTTTCTCGCTTCGAGAACGATCGCACCATCTCCTTCATTCCTCCAGATGGAGAGTTTGAGCTCATGTCTTACCGCTTGAACACTCATGTAAGTAGCTTCTCAAAAAGCTTTTTAGGGACCCTCTGAGAAAACCCAAATTTGAAACATGCTCACACTAACCATCAATAAAGTGGCTGCATAGCAGATGCCGATGCGTTTTTAAGGCAAGGGTATAACCTTTACACAATTTTACGGTAAAGTCTTTGACACAGTTTTCAGCAAATTCACAATAAATTCAACCTGGAGGGAGTCACACAGAGAGAAGCTGCAATCAGAAAAGTATTCAATTTATATATGCAGGTAACACAATCATGTTCTTCAAAATATTTCTACCTAAGAAAAACCAGCCAATGGCAAAGACTCATTGACTCTGCAGTCCCTTGCACTAAGCATACATGTAGCAACTGTGGAGAGGAAAAGTCCCTTTTAACAGGATGAAACGTCCAGTAGAACCAGGCTCAGTGTGAGCGGCCATCTGCTGAGGCCGACTGGGGTTCAAGGAGACAGAAGCAGATAAAGATATAAACGAATTAAGTTCTTTGGCGCTCGAGCCCCGGCAGAAGACTTTGATGTTTTGAATCAACATTGTCTTGGATGAGTAACCTAGAAAAGGATTAGAATAGTCTTTGCCCAGGCCCTGGAACCTGGTGGTGGAATAAGCCAGAGAGGGAGTGGGACTGAGAATAGTCTTGAGAATGAGGGAGGAGATGGGGTGGAGGTGGGTGAAAGCTCGCTCTCGTGCGGGAGAGAGAATTTGGGCCAGGAGCTTAATGAAGGGGATCTTGGAAGATGTTGTTCTTCGGAGGAGGTACGACCCCAAGTCGAATGGCTAGAGCTGAACAAGGGACATTGCAGTTGGTTCAGGGGAAGCTGATGAAAGACTTACAGATTTAATTTTTGCTTAAGCTTCATTTACCTAAAATTCAGGTTCTTAATTTTAATCTCTAAATTAGAGGTTACCGTTTCTGCAATTCACAATTTCTTGGTTTTAGTTAAAAAAAATTGAACTAGTTCATGTATTATATATATATAAAAAAAAAACATTTTTAAATAGATAGTTCAGGATTTTGAAAAGAGGTTCTGCTGAAAGTTTATGAGGTGTTAGTATCTTACAGGTGGCTGTTCTAGCATCTTTATATCTATTTTTCCAGATTAAATGGTTCCAGTAGCTGAAGCTGTTAAACCCCCTACAGAATCAGGTGTACTGTGTTTATACTCTGAGCCGCCCACAGTAAGGAGTCTCTTAGGAGCTCATAGTGGAGTTTACCATTTCACTTCATCTGTCAGGACCAATTCCAATATTATCTCACTACAATAGATCCGTTCGATCAGGAGGAAAAGGTAACTTGTGTTGTAGCTATGGAAACATTAAAAGAAAATAAATCAGTATGTAGAGTCATGCTCGATTGTTTACATACCCTTTCTTTAAATAGAGAAAAAAAAAAATCAGCTGCTAGTAAAAATTTATAAAAGTAATAATAAATAAAAGGAAATAATGGACACTATGGCATTGATTTTGAATACATTATTATTGTTTGCACACTTGATAATGACATGAATGAAGAAATCGTACATCTGAAACTGAGCACACATGGTGATTAATATTCAGTAGAAAAATTTGAGATGAACACATCATTATTATGGCACATAATGCCATCTGAGCTTTTGATCCTGATTTTTATTTTTATTTTTTATCAAGAACTATACTTCATTCATTTAGTTAATGCAATATAATAAACACTAAATACTAGAGATAGCTGCAGGTTTCTTGATAAAATGTAAAAAGCCATTGAAAACAAAAGATTAAAAGGATTTTTTACAGATTTTGTGTAACTGACCTCCTAAAAACAGGTCAGAGATGATTATTACGATCCAGATATAGTCGCTCCTTTGACTGCAGGACATCTCTAACATTTTATTTCTGACTTCATTTCACAGCTAAAAGCATTGCTAAGCCTTCATTATAACATAATCTGTTAGAATTGTTTTCTAAATGGATAAGCATGAAGTTATAACCAGTTAGTAAAACCATCAACTGAAAGATAATTGCAATGCCCCCACAAAAAAAAAAGAAAGAAATGGTACAGGAAACAGAGATTTTCTCGAATGTTGCAACTTAAGGAATTTCCAGACAGGAGATGACAAGTGCAATTTAGAACTCCCCTGTTTGTTATTTTAATGTGACCGGATGTGTTTCAGACCACTACAAAGTTACTGTGTCTAAAGCATTTTTGAAGAAAAAAGGTAAACATGAAGCAGAGTGATTTTTATTTACATTGTGTTTACATATTGAGTTGATACCGTCATAGAAAAAAGGAAATAATTGATTACCTTTTTTTTTTTTTTATTGTACATCATTGTAGCATTTACACTGCAATGGACTGATGTACTTGTATAGTAGTTGCCTGTGCAGCATCTGCCTCTGCATTGTACATACAAACCTGCTCTACTGACCTGTTGTGCAAACCATTGTGTCGGATAAATGTTGACAATAGTAGGTAAAAATCAATTTATCGTGTTTGTCATAATAAAATGCAGAACTTGTGCTAATAATCAGAAAGTGTGAATACCTGGGAGGAGGATATGCAAATGCTTAACACCAGCTTCAGGATTTATCAAACCTGAAACAGATATTGAGAGAGCAGCTTCTGTATTTAGCTTGTTTGAAGTTCAGGTTCCAACAAAATCGCAAAAAAATATCTGCGATCCTTGTGGCAAGAAGGTAGCATATGTACAATAACCGATAACAGAAATAGTGCGCAAGTCAACACAGGTACAGTCAGAAATAAATAAAAAATAGAGACCTATTATTTTTTCCCTTGCTCCTTTCCATTTTTTTATTTTTCAACCCTTGAATGTTCTGGGTTTATTTTCCTGTACAGCGCAGTTACACAATGGAGGAAAAAAAAGTTATTTTTTTAAGGTTTTTATAAAACCTGGGGATATTATCAGTTTAAAATAATACCTTGAAACAACAACTTTTACATTTGATTTTAAGCTTTATATTGAATTTTGAGATTTTTCCATTAAAGTTAATAGAAAACATTTATAATTAAATGACTCATCTACTTAATTGTTAATAGTGCAAACATATTTTTAATTTGTTTTATGTCTAATTCTATGTTTTGAGTCTCAGCACCATTTTGCCTTTGCTGTGTTTGTTATTATATGGACACTATTCTAAATGTGTGAATCTACTTTAGGTTCATCACTATACTACTTGGATTAATTCTGTTAACTGTGATGATTTTCATTCTCTGATTGTGACAGCTTAACTTTCAGAAAATAAAAGAAATACCATTTTAACTGCTGACTTTGCATATTAATGTTATCTTTCAGTTTTTGCAGGAAATTGTGAAAATCTGAATTTGGTGCTTTTAACTCTAAGCAACAGTAATAAAAATAACTATCATAAATATTTGGACGATTAATTAAAAACTTTTTAAAAATGTTTACCTTTTTTCTGCGGGCTGGCATTATGCTCTGTGTAGTAATAAGCAGCCTCCACTAGGTGGTGACTGTGACTTGCTATTTAAACTTGTAAGCTTTTCAGATCAGAAGTGAAAACACCTGCAGATGAATATTTAATCCTGATATCCTCTGATAGGTGAAGCCCCTGATCTGGATCGAGTCTGTCATTGAGAAGCACTCTCACAGTCGGATCGAGTACATGATAAAGGTAGGAGACTTTCTCAGCACATGACTGCTGTGTCATCCTAAACTGTTGCTGCACCCTGATCTTGTTATTCCTGTAAAAAAAAAAAAAAACATACAATAAGAAGAAAAGGTTTGTATTTTAAGGCTGGTGCAAACTGTATTGACTCATGAATCTAGTTGTGAAGAAGGAAACTCCTGACTACATAATACTTATGTAAAGCAATCATTAAGACCAAGCTTAAGACCTCACTAAGGGAGGACGTTGTTCTAAAGTCACCTTGCCTGTTCTTCCTCTTTTAGGCAAAGAGCCAGTTCAAGAGGCGCTCCACAGCCAACAACGTGGAGATTCACATTCCTGTGCCAACAGATGCTGACTCACCTAAATTCAAGACCACAGTGGGCAGCGTGAAGTGGGTGCCTGAGAACAGTGAGATCGTCTGGTCGATCAAGTCCTTCCCTGTGAGCCCAAAACGTGACTCAGTAGTTTCATAGTGACGGTTTATAGACAGCTAAGCTTCTTCTGTACTCATAATCCATCTTTTGTTACCTGACAACTTTGTTTTTTTTTAATTCATTTATTTGTAGATCTGCTTTTATAGACAGAAAATATTTTTCTATATAATTCTCTGGCTTCTATTTCAAGTAAAAAAATAAATGTATAACCACTCATCATCATCACATTGTATTAAACATTCTGCTCTGCAACTTGTCACAGGGAGGAAAGGAGTACTTGATGCGGGCTCACTTTGGTTTGCCCAGCGTTGAGGCTGAAGACAAAGAGGGGAAGCCACCGATCAGTGTCAAGTTTGAGATCCCGTACTTCACCACCTCAGGGATCCAGGTAGGCTTAACACACGTATGACCCCTGTCAAGCAGTAATCCCAATAAAGAACCTTTTGTTAAAGCAGAGCAGAAAAGTTCAAAGTGTTTCGTAAATCTGTCCAACCAAGCATGCAGTGTTTATTGTTCATTGCTTACCTGTACTGTACATTGCCAACACGTTTCAGCCTGTTCCAGAAACGTTATTGTAGTTTTTAACCAGAGGGGGCAGCACAGGAACACTTGTAAGCTCTCCCAGCGCTAAAGTAAACTTGTGCAAAAGGCAAGCGCTCATCAACCTGAACTCTGGCCTCTGCTTTTATCATAATGACAGTGATATAAGCCATCATTCCTGGTACCAGGTAGGCAGATTAATAGGATTCTGATTGTAATTTCCATGCAACAGAGAGAAGTTTATATGTTTATATTTCAGGTTTCCCCCATGCTGACCACAGACTGACACACGTGTTACATTTACTATATGATTACAGTTGTTCTGTGATTATATGTGTGGCACCACAACACCAAATTATGCTTTCCCATGTCCTGGTCAGGGGAGGAAGCAATACTCTCATTCCATTTGAGAATATTATATCATATGTAAACCTCACAAAATTAAATTCCCATGTTTTTTTTTTTATCAAATGTTTTTGTTTAATCTTAAAAGCTTTTGATTTTCTTCTTTTTAATAAATAATATCAATATATATGCATGCAATTGAAATCCTCAATGAAGGTTAACAAATATGTAAGATTATAAAACAAATATGTAAGATTATAAAACATTATCTATTGTAAATAGATATTGGCCTATTGGTAGTTTACTGTCCACCCAATATCCTCCATGTTTTTTTTGCAACTCTGGTAAAAAAAAAATATATATATATATATATATATATATATATATATATATATATATATTTTTTTTTTAACAGTGCAACACTTACTGGTATCTTTTATAACTCCTTTAATATATATGTTCATATAAAATCAAGGTATAAATATGTATTTTCAAAATAAATAGCATATCAGTGAACTTTTTGATACTGATTTATGAATCCAGTTTCCCTTAAGTTTTGGTTTCTTTCAGCCATGCTTTAAAATGCTAAATACATTAGTACATTCTGTTAAATTGAGGCAGATTTTTATAAGTAGCATAAACCTGCTCACATCCCCAGTCAGACTGCAGAGAATAAAGCCAGGAACTAAGACAAGTTTGGGTTAAACGAGAACCCCCAACCTGCACAGAGGGGGAGATGATAAAAAGGTAAAGAAAATCTCAAAGGAACTGCAGAAATAAAAGATTTAATGTTGGTGGTCTTAACACCTTAATCAGAGATGTAAATGTGAACAGTGCAGTGTGGTATTAACTTAAAACCACCACCATGATCTCTAAATTTAGTATCGCTAAAAATCTGGTGGGAAAAAATAGATGCACGCCTCATCTACTGGTAAATGTTTGTTAGTAACATGAATGAACTGAAAGCTCCCCTTCCAGACCAACTGCTTTATTTTAGTAACCAGCAGACCCTGGTTATTTTAGTTTGATGGCCGAGGGCCCCAGTAACAAAGCAAGCATTCATATTAAATGCAAACATTCAGTTTCTAAACTTGCCTCAATAACAAGCAAAATATTTTTGGCAATAGGTTGTTTAATAAATCCGCTGTTAATACAAAGCTGATGTGGAACCCTGTATAAAAAGTCATGATTATATCCTGACTTTTTTAATTTTTATTTGTTTGAATCATTAAGAGCCAATAGGTCACATTTTCCAGCTTCCTCACATTTGCCTGCTTCCTTGGCAAAATGTTATTAAGTTGCTTGGTTATTATGCAGCCCACTCGGAAACAAGACTCCCAATCTAAAGTTAATTGATATGCGTGATATTTGTAATGGAGGGGAAAGGGTGCTAGATTGTGAATTGTTGTGATTTCCATGGTGATCTGAATGAGATCCAATGATTTATCCATCATTTACTGTCTATGTTAGAAATGATTGAATAAGAGCAAGTGCATAAAACAGTGGAGTCATAAAAGCCGCTTTGTTTTGATTTACCTTAATTCTACACAAAAAGAGCAAATCTTTATGAAATAAAAATCACACAATCCAACACAGGTGTTTGTTATTAGAATAAACAAAATTTGCTGTTTGATGCAATAGCTAAATGATGCCGAGTCATTCATTGTAATGACCAGGACGAACTCTGCTCTGCTGAACTTCTGACTTGCTCATCTGCACTGTAGTGGTGGATCCTCTTTTGTGGTTTTCTACAAACCTTGATGACTTGTATTCAAACACATGAGGGTTTCCTGTTCGCTTCAATCTGGACACACCCTTCAAGTGTTCTAGCCGCAGCTTTGAGAAAAAGCCGACTTGTAACCGTAAGTTAGTTTGAATTTGCTCAGATCAACAGCTTTTTTTTTTGTTGTTTCCTGCATAAGCTTCACCCTGACTTCAAATTTACCCGAAGAAACAAACAAATAACAAGCAGAAAAAAATTTAAATTTTCCATTCGCATCTTCAGGTAAAGTATTAGATCAACAATGTTTTTTTTTTTTTAAACAGCTGGAAAATTAAGAGAGCAGTTTGCTTCTGCAAACTATTGAACTTCCTGAAAGGAAGCCACCTGTATAGGTCGGTTTGTAAATGCCACCCAACACCCAAACGTCGCTTTATGATTTTTTTTTGTTTTTTTCCTGTGGGGTCTAACGTATTCAACCCCTCTTTGCAATTTTTTTTTTATTCTACTTGAACCTTTTAATATTTTGTTGCCTTACAACCATATTCTTTATTGCATATAATACTATTTAAAATGACAAATACCCCAGTATTAGCAAAAAAACATTTGAAACCACTGTGTATATATATATTGAACTACAGTATCAGCTTTTTTCCAAATACAGCTCTCTTCTCTACCAGCTTTTCGTGTCAACAGACTGAAACGTTTGCCCGTTCTCTGCAATATAGCTTAGCCTCAATCAGCTTGGATCAATAGTAATGCTTGATCCATTATAATTAAGTGTAATCATAAGTTCTTCTGTCTGTTTTTTGGGGGATTTGGTTTTGCCATCAAGGAGAACTTACACCTCACTCTAAAATATCCCTTTTTTTGCCTTTATTTGGCTCTATTCCTCCTCCTATCAACTCTGACTACTTTTCATATCATTGCCATAAAACAGCCCCAAAGCATGATACTGCCACTGCCAGTTTTATTTAAAGGCATTTTGCTTTTTTGCAAAAAAAAGAAAAACAAAAAAAGAAAACATTTTGCTGCCTTTTATTCTCAGATGGGGAATTAAGGGCCTTCTTCTACATGTTTGCTTTTTTCCCCATGTCCATATTCTCCCACCTGAGCTGTGGAGATCCACAGCTCCTCCAGAGCTAAGAGGAAATTCTTGGCTGCTCCATGACCAGAGATACCTTAGCAGCTTCTCTCTCTATTGTTTTAGTTGATGGATCAAACAGTGCTGAGATTCTCTAATTTCCTAAATGGGATAAAGGGGCTTAAACACTAATGTGTGCTGTCAGTTTTCATTGAAATCATCTCCCCTCCTTCCAATTTAACTATGACGTAATATCACATAACTAAATAAAAAATATTGAAGGTCCTGTTGTAACATAGCATTTTTGGAAAAAGTTGATGTTGATCCAAATGGATTAGAGACTAATTTTAAAGAGTTCTTTTTTCTATTATTTTTCAACAAGAGAATGTTTGGACCAAAATTTGAGCTACCGGTAAGAGGGATAAATATGTTGTTTAGGCCCCACTTAGACTCAGGTTTTGCTACCAAAATCCAATTTTTCCCATGCCAGCACCGATGGTTCAGCATCCATTTTAAAAACCAAACACCAGGATCCCTGTTCCCATCCAACTCCTGTGTCAAGCGTGCAAACTTCTCGTTATTACAGGGCAACTGCAGACTGGGTCTCAGACTCTAATGCAGCCCAGTGACACCACTCTCTACGTGTGAAAAGAGGCAGTGAAGTTTAATTAGATGCATGTAAATATCAAAGCATGAGAAAGTTTCTCTTAACTCCACCACTAAGTGTAGGGCAGCGCACATGTGAAGCATGTATGATGCAAGTCGCTCCACCTTAAAAGTTTAACTGGAAAACCGTGTAACCCCACACGTTGGTTGGATGAAAATAAGAGCGTCTTTTTCAAATGTTGGCTCTTTAGGTGAGAGAAATCCAACATGTACGCAGATGTTTTTTTTTTTTTTTTCCTACCCATGCCATCTACAAGAAGCCTGATAAATCCAGACCACACATGCAGTCTGTACTTACCAGACGATATACTACAAACATCCTCCCGTTCCCTTCTCATCTTACAAAGCCATAATGATATTTTACGGAGGCTGTCCTTTCATGGCGTTTTGCTGACTATGTGCCCATGACCAGGCCGGGATGCACGTTTGGCTGCAAGATGCGCGGTAGAAGTGCTGCGCCGGCAGACTTGGTGATCCCGCGTCTGCATGTTTTGCTGTCATGTCTTCAGTGACCACGGCGCTTGCTCTGACCTCACAGTGAGTGGTGGAAGGTAATAACAAGGCGGCCGGTGCCGTGGCCTTCCCAGAGCTCCGCCGCCTCCTGATCCACAAATTCCTGCGCTGTCTGTCACCACTTTCAGATGGGAACATCCAGGTCATAGACGAGGGGGTTACAGCCGTGTTTTTACATAGCAATTTGCAACTTTGTGCTTTCTTTTTTTTTTTTTTTTTCCCTGCTGCGATATTATTGTGAGAACGTTCTGACTGCAGAAGCCCGCTGATGCATGAAAGATATCCTGGGTATGGGCGTGCTGACTTGCTTTACATAAATACTCACACAAAAATCATTAAGGAGCTGCATGGAGCCAGCTGAAATAAAACCTCACTACAAAATCTTTAAATTCCCTTTACGGTTTTATTTCCCCATCTGAAGGGGAAAAATGTTCTGCAATCCTGTTCAGCACTGCTAGGACTGCAGGGTATTTTAAGCATTTCTTCTCGAAATTCAGCTCTGTGGTAACTCCAGGCAGCTGAAATATCGGTTGGCTTGTGAAAGTTGTCTTATTTGTGCTGATGTGAATTTTTTCCGCACAGGCGTAAAAAAAAAAAACTACAGTTATGTAAATTAACATGGTGTGTCCCTTGAAAGCTGCTTCCTTCTTCATGTGACTCATTCTACTGCTTCTTCATTAACTAGACTACTCCTATGACAACCTGCTGCTTAGCATAAACCTAAAGATGCTCTGTGACCAAAACAGGCTCTTTGAATTCTGAAGGTTTAAAGCTTCAGGTAGAATCAAATCAGATCATGTGAACAATTTTTCCTCTATTGAAATTTTAAAAATAATTTTTAGATAATTGTATTTTTTTAAATAATTATTCTTATTTTAACAATACTTTTTATTCTCTTTATTTTTTGTGTTGCCTCTATTTTCTTTGCTCATCTACATCACTTTGAATTGTCTTGCCACTGAAATCTGCTATTTTAAAATAAACTTCCTTCGCCTTAAAATAACGCTTCTTTTTTTTGCTGATATAAAGTAATTTTATGTGCAGTAGAACATTATAGCTGGGCATTATAGCAGGAAAAAAAGTCCAGTCCAACACATGGTGTTGGCTGCATCAGCTGTGGGACCCCTTTCTTTAGTAGGAGAAGGAAGCTGGTTGGAGTTGATGGGGGAAAGATGGAAGAGCTAAATGTAGAGCGATCCTAGAACAAAGTCTGTAAGAATCTGCAGTAAAATTGAGGTTGAGACAGAAGGCCCAGCTCCAGCGGGACAACTCAAGCATCCAACCAGAGCTACAGTAAAGGGATTTAGATCAAAGTAGATGGTTTTGGTAGAAAACTTAAAAGTGACTTTTCACAGCCTCCTTTCATCCAGTCTGACAGGGAAGGAGTTGTTGGCCAAAAAAAAAATTGCTGGTTGATAAATACATATGAGTATTATGCCTTTACAGTTATGGACGTATTTACAATTAAAATAACTAAGCCTTTTCATTTTTTTCCTTTTCACTTCACAATTTGGTGCTTTCACAGACATAAATCCCTCGGAAAAAGATTTAGGTTGTGTAGCATCTAGTTATAAGCTAAAAATAAAAGTTTAAAGGCTACAAATACTCTACTAAGATCTTCTTTCTTAAATATAATCATTGGCATAATTTCTAATGTCAGACCAAGTAGGGATTAATTTTAAATGTAGTTATAGTTTAGTTTTGTAAGCAGTTTGAATCTTTCATTACAGTGGATCAGAGGTTCTGACTCAGATTTGGGAAATCTGTCAAATAAGTAACAATGGGACCCAGGTGTTATGTTTACCTGCTGTGGGTTTACATTTTTCTTCAGATATATTTAAAGCTGCCTTTTCTCTGTCTTTTTATTTGCCTGCAGGTGCGTTACCTGAAGATCATAGAGAAGAGCGGATACCAGGCCCTGCCGTGGGTGCGCTACATCACCCAAAACGGAGGTAGGTCAACAGTTTATCTGTAGCTCTGTTAAGTGCCCGCATGTGCAGGTGTTAGGCAACAGTTGGGCAACGCTGTGCAACTTGGTGGGAACTGACCTCGAAGAGAAGCAGTTCTATGAAAAGGGGATACAGAGCAGAACATGAGGCAATGTGGCAACGCCCTGCCAAATGTGAGAAAGTGAGCTTTATTTTCTCGAGCTTCCCCCTGCTCATCATAGTGAGATTACCAATGTTGCACATGTTGGTCTTGAGGCTAATATTGCCACTAATTGCCAAACATCCTCATCTCATTTCCTTTATATTTCATCCAATCCGGGGTGGAAAGCATCAGCTGCCTCCAGCTGATTTCTCTTGGATTCCCTACTTTTCATTTGCACATTTGATTAAGTCCTGTCAATTTCCTCCACAGATTACCAGCTCCGGACCCAGTAGGCAGCGCCTCAGCCGGCACGTGGGCAGGTGGAAGTCAAGACGGGGTGGAGTCGTGGTGCTAATGTGCTGGGAAGGCAGGTGGCAGTCAGGAGATAAGAGGACTGTCAGTATTTACTTTAGTTGTATAGCTCTCAATTTGTTAAACCTCTATTCATTCACGATCAATGCAATTATTAGGCGGATGCTCGGGTTAGGCAAGATTCAGAAAGATGATTTTGTTACAGCTGATTGGATCCGGAGATGATGGAGACCAAGAAAAGCAGGGAGAATGTTTACAACCACTTGTCTGTCTGTCACAGGGCTTCAGATAGCTGAAAAGAGCGTGTTACAATTATGTAAAGTTACTGTAATCACAACGGCCATTCAGTTACAGTATATGTCCTTTGTACGAGGCTGCTTTGTTCTACCACAATTCTTTTTGTTCATTATTTGTATATATTTGTTACATGTTAATGAACTCAGTGTTATTAGTCCAAAACTGTACATTTAAAACAAAGCATTTTGTAATATGAGCTGCATGCCATAGATACATGCCAAAAGATCGCCTTCATGGTTTGGTTTGGTTTTCCATTTCGACTCCACAGATTTATTTTTCAGCTTTGCAAGGGATATTAAAATGGTGAGTTTAGGCGGCAAAGGAAGCACCCCAACACCTGCTTTCCTTTTCTCTGTCTGTAACCGCGCTGTTTTTGCTCATTAAATGTATATTTAGAGAAAACTGTTCCATCATGTGCAAGCGTCATTTCTTCCTGTTTGACGTCACTGCAATGGATGCTAAACGGAGGGGAAAACTCTAGAAAAACGACGAGAGAAACCACAGATGGTTCTTTCTCATTGGAGTGAGGAAAAAAACCTACCCAACAGTGTGACTAATACTCAGTGCACCGTAAGATTGTAAGCACCTAGGTGAGATTATTCTCTCACCAAACAAACAAAAAAAACTAAACAGGAAAGGATGTGAATCAGAAACATGTTAAAGAGAGAAACAGCCGTAAGACATACGTGAAGATGCAAAAGGTGCTTAATAAATGTGAGCCCCTCTGTGCTGATGGTGAAGGTACGTGTCTTCCTTACAGAGGTGCAGTGAAATTGTAATGAACTAACTAATCCTCATTAATTAATTTCATGATTTAATAATGTTTCCCATAACTTTAAATTATCTTCAACACAAACATATGCAGACTTCTGCATTTTACCCAGGAGTAATAATTTAGTATCAAATATTAACAATTAAATGAAATGTGAAAGAATCAGTGGAAATAATTGTATCAATATTAATAAACCTATCTATTTACGAATAATAAAAAAAAAGGTTAAGACAAAAACTATTTTCTGTTAAAATGTACAAAAAATGTTTATGTTTCATTTAAAACATCTAAACAAGAGTTTTGCAAATATTTCCCTCATACAACTGGAGAAAACTCCAGTTACTCTGTTACTTTCCTTTAATCTGTAAGGATATTAAAAGGGATCCTCCAGCAGCGTTCAGTCTTCAACATTTAAACAAACATTCCAACAAAATTAAAGCAGTTTAAAAAAAAATAAACACTGGACCTTGTTTTCCCAGTTTGAAGACGTTTCGATTCCCATCCAGGTAGCTTTCTCAATTCAAAATGTCTGCAATGGAAAAAATAAAAATCTAGGTACCGGTAAGTCATTTTTTCTTAAAATAAGTGCATTTGTTATTGAATTGGCGAGGTAAAAGCGACATTTTGCCAATGGAACAAGACAATTTACATTTAAAATTAGAAAACACAACTGCATTGTCTTATTTCAAGTGCATTTTTATCTAATTATCTTGTTTTAAGAGTAAAAATACTAATTCCATTGGCAGACCATTTTATTTACCTTCTCAAAATAAGGGTAAATACACTTAATTTATGAAATTTGTACTTATTTCTAGATCGTTTTTCCAGTGTGGAGTAGCGTCTGAGTTTCAGGCTTATAGAGTGGCACAAACAAAAGCCTTGTTATTGCTTAGGAAACATGCAAATTGAACCAAAAAACAGGTCCACCCATTAGTATTAGGAAGTCTTAAGGTCGTTGGCCTGCAAAACCCAATACTGGCTCATGTCTTTGAAAAGGGAGTCGTTAGGGCATTAGTCGAGTTGTTAAAAAAAAGAAGGGGGGGTGGTGGATTTTTTTTTTTTTTGGAAGCATACATAAGCTAATTAATTTAGTCTGTTAACCTAAAGCCGTATGCATGGTATGGTTGTTACATGTCAGGTAAGCCGGTCATTGAAATCGACCAAGGCACCTTTCTGTAGAACTGCCTTCATTCCATGGACTGGCATGGCTATCACTGCCTCTACATAGTTAGGGACAAATACAGAGGACAAATTTCCCATCTGGGATCAGCTTCATAGTGATGGTAGGCCGCTTCTTTGATTTTACTTTGGAAAATCTTTCGGTAATGAATCTATTGAGATTTGGAAAAAAAATTCACAACATTGCAAATGAATATCTGAATCCTAAAGTATTTTTTTAATTCAAATTCAATTAAATAAATTGAAACAGCTGAAAAAATTTTCAAAATCTGAAAAAAAAACAGCTTACAAATTTAAATAAATTCAAATTAGCCTGAAAATGAAATACGCCTATATTAAATCTAATAATTTTACTCCCTTTTCAAATATTCGTTTAGAGTATTTATTTTATAAAATAGACTGTTTATGACAAAATCTAGGCTACATGCTGGCAATGAATGAGTTAAAACTATTCTAACAGGTCCGTCAAACTAAACTATTTACTATTGATCGGATGACAGGCATTCTGCAAGTTACATGAGGGACCTTGCAGTCAGATGTCTACATTCAATTCATTTATGACCATTGGCCAGACATTTACATCACATTTGGCAGTTCTTTCAAGATAATAATATTAACACTTGTCTTAAATTGTTTAATTAAAATGGAGTTTTTAAACCTTTAATTCTCTCCTCTGGGTTTCCACCACTGCTCTTTGTGGTCAATTCACAACCAAAATTTAGATTTTGAATGTTCAGCGATGCCTGTGCACTCTAGACTAATTCTCGTGTGTCATGACAGCTGTAAAGACAGAACAATGTTAGTGCTTCAAACTAGTTTACATCAGGACTTCTACATATTTGGTGACACAATGTTAAGCTTATAAAAGGTAATGTCTTTTGACTCTGACCTACCTGAAGCGTTAGTTTTTGCCTTCTTAAAGATGAAGTTCCTCAAATTGTGTTGTCTTTGCCGCTTGACCGTGATGCTGGTCAGAACATCGTCACCTGCTCTTCTGGTTGCACCACTGAGGTTGAAAATGAAATTACACGTTCCCTCTGGCCCACCGTATTTTGCTCAGGCTACTCATAAGCCCACAGTGTGCCAAATGTTGAAAGGGCAATACTATTGCAATTACTCTTAATATATAAATAGAAATTTACACATTCAGTGACTTACTGGTTTAGATATGCGGATGACACATTCGTCAAAATCCATCTAAAAGAAGTGGAAGCGTTCACAAGACACATGAACTCAGTGGACCACCACATCAAGTTCACCAGAGAGGATGCCAATAACAACAAGCTGCCATTTCTGGACTGTTTGGTGAGCATGGAAGGAGATGTAAACCTCAACATTGAAGCGTATAAGAAACCCACTCACACAGACCAATTTCTTCTTTTTAACTTACAACCCATTGGAACACAAACTTTCTGTCATCAGAACCTTACAACTCCAGGTCGATCATGTCCCTACCAAAACAAGAGGGAAGCATAAAGAACAGAAACACATAAAAGATTCTCTCCAATTCTGTGCATACTCTGAGCATTTCTCGAATCAACAAGGAAATCCAAAAGACATGCAGCAGAACATAACGGTGCAAGATTAAACGCAAAAACTTTGCCATTCCCTATGTTGCTGGAGTTTCTGAAAAACTCAAAGATTTTCTCCAAACACAAAACCCCAGTACATTGCAAACCAAACAAGACCCTTAGACAGAGGCTAATGCATCCTAAGGACAAAACCCCCAGACCTAAGATGAGCAGAGTGATATATGCAGTTCAATGCAGCTATGAATGCTCTGATCTTTATATTGGAGAAACCAAACAACGTCTCCACAGATGCATCGCTCAACACAAACAAGCTACCTCCTCTGGACAAGACTCTGCTGTCCACCTACATCTTAAGGACAAAGGACATTCGTTTGAGGACCAGAATGCTCACATTTTGGATAAAGATGATAGGTAGTTTGAAAGAGATGCGAAGAAAGACATTTACGTTAGAAGAGAAAAAACAACCTTAAACAGAGGGGGTGGTCTCAGGTTCCAGCTCTCAAAAACCTACAACACAGCAAAAGAGTTGCTTCCTTCCCGCTATCATCTCAATCCTTATCGCCATGCAGGGGACCAAAACATTTCGCCGTGTCAGCCAGGCCAACAATGACCCAAACGACTACCTCTTTTCAGAGGCATGGGCCAGTATCGGGTTTTGCAGTCCAACAACAACCTCAACGACCCCCCATTACTAAGTGGTGGATGGATTTTTTGGTCCAATTTACACGTTTTTTTTAGCCATAACAAGGCTTTGTTGGACTACTCTATAAAGCTTGGAACTCAATGCTACTCCAGACATTTTGAAATGAGAAAGCTTCCTGGATGGAAATCGAAAGGACATCAAACGTGAAATCAAAGTTTTAATTTTTTTAATTTTGCTGGAATGACTATGACTCACATAGCCTCTCCTGAGTCATTTAGGTCATTGTTGGCCTGCAAAACTTGGTTGACTGAGAATCTTCCCCAGAATTTAAACAACCAATAAAGAAACCGTTGAGCAGCTTTGAGCTGAAAAGAAGCGGCTGATCCACTCAGAGCAACTATTGGACGTCTGCGGTTTTCCACAGTAGGAAGTTCTTAGCTCCACTTGACACTGTTTCTCAGCCAGAAGTTCTCTCTGAGAGTGGTAGGGCGTTGCTAAATTACATGAAGCACAACTTGCAAGTTACCTACTCAGCTCTACAGTAAAATATTAATCGTTCATTTAATAAAAACAAAAACATTTCAAAACAAAGATCAACAATCTCAGACTCTGGCAGGAGAGGCTATGTGACTTTCTAAAGGAAGTTCCAACTGAACCTGACTGAGCTTTGCTTTGGCAGTGCATGCTTGAGCTATATATGGGTGGAGCGTCACAAGGACTTTTCAAAAAGTGAAATGTTGAGCTTGAGCAACACTTTAATACATCAACTTAGACAGCCAATAGAAACTCTTTGAGCATAGCTGTCGATGTCTTTAAACTTGTTTTCCTTTGTGCTAAAGTATTAATTTAGCTAAATACAAACGTTCAACAAGGGAAAAATGAAGGTACAGGAAGAGGACCAGGTCTTAGAGGTAAAATATTAAATGTTGTATGCACTGCAGATGGCCATTTCAAACATCCCCATATTTAAAAGGCTCATAGGACCCTTTGCTTTGTCATCTGGATTTGTTTTTTTCCAAAAAGCACCACGCTGAGTCTTATCTAACCACACAAAACTTTAAAATGTTATCTCAAAACTTTTAGAGGTAAGATTCTATCTTCTCTGATGATTTCATTTATCTTTCTAGTTTTTCTCACATAGCAAGTTTGCAAAGTCTGGAAACAAACTGACTCATTTTCTAAAGCCAGGACAATAGCCCAGTCAGCTGTCATTGTTCTAGACTGGCATTTAGATAGAGTAAAAGTATGACACACAAACAACTGAAGTAT